CCATAGCACACCCATGTTTCTGCCTATAATCCTCATTTCTACCTTCTCCTCTCTGTCAACGCTGTCTGGTTTCATTTAAAAGAGTCGATCATCAGATATTGTCCAAGATTAACCTTCAGGGTGGATATAGCTCGCTAGCAGCCTCGCACCGAGGACCTATCCACGTCATCATTTACCCAGAATGCTTTGAGTGTAAATAAAATGGATCCGTCCGTGTTAAAATATACTTAAAAAACTAAACAGCTACAGTGTTTTTACAGTCTTTATTTTACAGTTAAAATGTATGTTTATTAAATAAAGTCTAACGTTACAACTAATCGTGGATCCCTTTAAGAACCAACCACTGTTTTATAGATAAAACCTTTTGTTCAATAGAAATGTGTCCTCCATTCAAAGGATATCTGGGTTGTCTTTCAGGAAGTTCATCTTTCAGCTCATCGGGAGAAATGTCCTGAAAGACAKAGGAGACACAAACAATTCATCAAACAAAACAATAATTTACAAAAATAAAAAATATAGTCAGATCAAAGTATTTGTTCAACAACCTTTGACACAAACAAGAGTTTCAAACTGACCTCATGTTCTTCATCCAGAATGACGAGCTGCCTGTCTTTATCAATCTTCACTGAAGAACACAAACAGAAACAATTCAAGCTTTAGACTGGATTAGATCRCAGAGCAAATGCCAGAAGAAGGAAGCACTAATTCCTACTGGGTCATTCCCAGCAGAACATGAGGGTGGAGGAGAACGCTTCGGCTGTTTCCAAACTAACAACTCCCACCTCTGTTCCCCACCTGCTGCACTGGGACATGACTCATCGTACGAGTCTGGCCTCCAGCACACACGGCTTGTCCCAAAGCAGATAGTTTTCTTTCAATGCATAGAATTAACTTATTTTTAATAATACTGTAGTGCAGTGGTTAAGGGAGTCATTCTGTAAACGGTAGGTTGCCGGTTTGATCCCCCGTTCCAGCTGTCTCAGTTGTTGTGTCCTTGGTAGGGTTGGGCATAATCGTATCATGTGCAATTAAACATCAGAAAAACATTAATCGATTTATTTTTTGGCACTTGATGATTAATACGATTAATGCCACCAGTCAGACTGACTGGTGCTCCTCTCTGCTTCAAATATGATGAACATTTAAAAACAAGTTCTTTATTTATCTATCAACACAATTTAAAATTTGATGTATAGCCTGAAGTCTGTAATTTTGACACAATTTGGAACAGATTTTTATGAAGAACAAATCTTTCCCATTAAACTGGTCATGTGACCAGGACATAAGGGGGTCCAGGGCCTCTAGGGAGGGACGATTAATCTATCGTCAAATTAATCGTTATCGGCTAAATACCCCAATTAATCGTGATTAATTTTTTTGCCAATATTGCCCAACCCCTTTTCCTTGGGCAAGACACTTCACCCACCTTGCCTACTGACGGTGGTCCGAGGGTCCGGTGGCACCGGTGCATGGCAGCCCCACCTCTGTCAGTGTGCCCCAGGGCAGCTGTGGCTACACTGTAGCTTACCACACTTTCAGTAGCCGTGTTTCCATCAAGGTTTTTAATGCGCACTTTGAAATGGCATTGGAAAAGGTGAATGGAAACGGCTTGATTCGAAAAACTTCCTCTAATTCACATAAAAGTTGATACGGTCGCTTGAGGTGGTTTTTGGTTTTTTCAAAAAAGAGTTAATGCGCAAARGGAGAGACGGAAACACATTTGTCGAATCAATTCTGACATAGTGAACATTTACCTCACATGTTGYAGGGGTAGACTATAACCAGTGTTTATGTTGTCCGAGATAACCTATTTTCATTTCGGACAACCAGATCCTGTCTCCTGGTTGTCCGGTGGTCAACCAAGAATAAAAAACCTTGATTAAAGGTCTCTGCTGCGGGTGTCCATCATTTGTAAAAAAGAAAGGGAGAAAAACCTTGGTAAAGCCAAACAGAACACTAAACTGCGACTTAAAGGGGTAATATCATGTGAAATCAACTTTTTTGAGGTTTATATCATGTTATAATGTTATACTCTCATAAAAAACATGCCCAAAGCCTTGCTCTGACTCATTCATGCATGTTTGAGAAATCCTGCAGTGTTTTTAGGAAGCCATGCTGAGGAGCAAAACAAAAGGTGTCTTTAAGCCGAGCTTCCTCGTAGCAGAGCGCCCCCAATCCCTCTCCGCGACTCCAGCAGGCTATGTGCTGAAATGGGCGTGACCGAAGTGGTTGGATTTTCTTAGACAGAGACCTATTTCAAGGCGTTCAGAAACTGTCAAGATGAGAAGTAAATTGTTTTGGGGATTTTTACAAATATATAGCTCTTTCATACGCTGAAAATGTGACATAGTTACTTTATTTTAGTATAAAATTGAAATACAGGCTTGGAAAGCACATAATATCACCACTTTAATAAGGTTATATACACATTATATTCCTATTTAAGTGAAAATGTTTGACCTATGAGCAGAAAATTTTATGAATGTTGGTAACCTCTAGATTTTATTAGCAACATTTTTGCTGCTTTACTCCCTGAGCCTTAAATACTCTATTTCAAAGAAGAGAATGAGGAAGTTTTATTCATGCAGCTCCAGTCAACCTGGCTGACTGAGAACAATTATATAAAATAAACTTTGTCTACAGAACAATATACTTGTTAAATTACATTTTTCTTGAGATTCTTTTGGACAACCAAAATGTTTTGCGGACAACCTGAAAAATATCCTTACGTCTACCCCTGATTACATTTCTTTCTCTACGTCTCCAGACAGCAGTAACATCACCAGAACTGACAGAATAATTACAACTTTCCTGATAGTAGCGACACGTTCCTGAAAACGTCTCTCCATTGTCCTGAGATGTGACTTTTACTTCCTGTTTAACACACGCATGTGTCCAACGTAATTGATTCACTTCAAGCCAGTTGATGGAAACACGTCTGATTCGCATTTCTTTGTTTTTTCCTTTTTTGCGAAATTTTTAAAATTCGCTCAAAATTCGAATTAAAATTGGCTGGAAACATGTCTACTGTGAATTAGGGGTGTAAGAAAATATCGATACACTGAAATATTGCGATATTTCATTTCCCGATACTGTATCGATA